CAAGGTATGTTTTTTCAATTACTAATCTAACAATTAGGTCATGTATTGTTTGTGGTTCCTATGTTGCCGACAGGCTTACAGATGAGAACAGCCTCCTCCCCTGTCATTAACAAAGCTCAGTCCAAACCCCTCCTACGCCAGGGAAAGACCACCCAGCACAAAAACACAGGTGGTTTTGGGAAACTTTTTGGAGATTGGTCACATTCCTACCCACTGTGTTGCAAAGCAGAAAGATCATGGGCTGGAACCTGTTGAGATATTTCACACAGAAGGAAGTCCTCATTAGTTTGCACACAATTTTAGTGAAATTAACAAAACAAGGCCATCATTAATAATGGTGTGTGTAAATTTGGAAGGCATGTAATAGACATGTTATCTGACTAAATGCTAATTTAGAAGTCCTACTAATACAGAATGCTGTTTTTTGAGATTATATTTACAGTAATATCATCAAGTCAAATGTTCACATTCGGCTAACAGAATGCAGTTTATATGTGCACGTGTTTGTGCATTTCATCCCCCCCTCCCCCGGCATGACCCCTTTCTCTGATCCTCTGTGGGATAATCTTTTTGTTTTTTGAGGGAACACTGTACGCTGACTTTATCCCAGCTGAAAATTGACACCCAAGTTTCAACAATTGGACATGCATATAATTAATTAGACATAAAATATAGTCATGTGCCCTGCTTTACGCTGCCAAGTCAAACTCTGCTCCCTAATATGAACATTCTGAGAAGCATCACGCATTAACTGAGTGTAACACAAACACCATGCATTTCTTGAAAAAGTGGTGAGGATTAGAAGATTCCTTTGTACAGTTTCCAGTCCAGTTGTATCTTTGCCCCTCACCCTGAAACTTGCAACCATGCACTCTGTTTTGTTATTGTAGCGAGCAATGCTGCATGTTTTCCTTGATGAATTTTCCTTTAAGTGGCAAATTAGGTCATCATGAAGATGAATTAATTGTTGCACTGTCCACTTTGGGTATAAGCTACACATTGCATATGATTGGGCAATAATCCCACCAATGTATTAAAGGCTGTGGTTTTTTTTATTATTTGCCTAAAAGCTTTTTCAGAACTTATTGAATTCTTTTCCGGATTAATTCATAGATTTCATAAAGACCATTTTCTTAGATACATATTCAGTATATCCTTTGTCCTTTTATCTGAATGTGCTCCTCCCTGCGTTTGCCTTGGGTTTGCGTTTCACCTCAAACTGTTTGCTCCCTCTCATAATTCACAGTCTAGTGCATGCAGGTGTGGGTGTAACAGCCTGGGTACAGTTACTCCTTCACTTTCAGTTTCCTACCTACTTGCCTACATTACTGTGCAGTGCAAGGAAAACAGTAATTATGCAACATTTCTAATCTGCTTTGGTTGCTTAAGCTAATCAGTGGGTGGATAATAGTTTTACTTGTTATGAAACCTCACATGTTACTTGTCTGTGTGTGCTCAGGCCTGCGCCGCCTTCCACTGACACCATGGGAGAGCAGTATAGTGAGCCGCCTGCAGCAGCCAACACACTCCTACCTGGCCCGTAGCCGCAGCGCCATGAGTCTGTCTGGAGAGCAAACAGGTAACAGACACTCATCCCTCGTAACAGGACCTTCCTGGTGAGTGAAACAGAGGATGTTGAATGGAAATGCACAAAAGTGACCTATAGTAGCTGATAGTGCTAGGTGTAATTTTGCTGTTTATATTTTGGCCTCTTGAGCAAAACATTGTCACATGTTAATTAGATTTGTGCGGAATTAAAGCATTGCACGTCACAAGTGCCATCACCAGCTTGTATCAAGTGCTCAAAGCTCACACACACATGCACACACAGGTCTAAAACAGGTAAGCTGTTCTGGAAGTGTTCCTCTACTGATATCATTCCTTGTCTACCTCAGTGGTTACCATGGCACCAGTGACTTTAGATGGTGTGTGTGTGTGCAGGTGCCTTTGTATTACTTGCATCATGAGGACCGAACCCTTTTAACACGCTCACCTTGTGGGGACTCAGCCATCCTTGTAGGGACCAGAAGAATTTCAGTTTCAGTGGGTGTTGAAATGATTTATCTCAAGTATTATGAACTGTAAAGTGCACAACTTTGAGTTGTTGATTCCACTCTACCTGTTTCCATCACATAAAGGAAGCTTTTGTTCCGTCTTGTTTTTTGAATAACACAACTCACCTGCCTTGACCTGCACACAAAACACTGGACCTTTTGCTTTACTCTGCTCTGCAAACAAACATTCAGCATGGCCTGCTGTGCGTGAAGGTGCACCTCTTGCATGCATTTTGCTGCTTGCTCAGTTCCTGTGTGTGGTGTTGGGTCTAATGTGTATGTTAATATTGAATAATTTATTCTGACTAGATAGGACAGTAGAGTCCCATCTACAAGTATGATGGTACAAAATGAAAGGAGTGTTGTCCAGTTGGCATCATTTGTTCTCCTAGATGAATAGCCTTACACTGAAATTGATTAAAGGTTTTATTTTTATTTTTAATGTGATCAGTCAGCCTGATGAAAAGTATAACTTTCAGAAACATTCTTTAACATGCAGGGCCTAAGTGATGGTTACAGTATGTTAGCAGCTGTTCAGCCAGTCACTAGCACTAATGCCTTCTTTCTCTTTTTCCATCATCTTTTCATGACTTTCACTCTTACATTGATCTTCCCAAACCCATGGCTTCTCCTTATTAACACGTTCCTCCCTTTTTTCCTTATCATATGCTTGACGCTCCTGTCTATCAAATCCTTATCGGTGTACCACAAACCCTCACACTGTCCCGATCCATACCCTTCTCAAACCACTCCAAACTCCCACCTCGTAATTCACTGTAGTCATGCCTGTGTGTCCTCGCTCAGTGTCTTGCCACCACATGGGCTCCGTATCCTTCAGGGCACTGCAGACCCAGCTGGTTCCTCCCTGCCGCAGCCAGGAGAGGAGCCGTAGCAGGGAGATGGCCTCATCCTCCTCCACCACTCCACGCAGGAGGACAAGTGGAGCTACACAGGTAGGTCAGGTCGTTAAACCTGCCCCTGTTTTACTGAATATCTAAAGAATAAACGTTTAGGGATTTGTTGGCTTTTCTTTTATAATAATAATAATAATAATAGAAGACCTACTTTATAAAGTGTACTTAGAAGACTTTTGTTGTGATTTGTAGCTATACAAATTGAATTGAATTGAAATTAAATACTTAAGACAGCTGCCATATTGCCAGTAAGTTATGAAACTGTTTATACTGTCAGGTTTGAGGTGCTTGTATGGTCATGTGATAGTGTAAACGCTTTCATTAAATAATATATTTAAATATAATTGCTATAGTATTTCTGATCCTGGTTTTTTTGTGTGGTTCTTTTATTTTACCACATTTGTCTCCTCTTTCTGGTCTTTTTCATGTTTTTCAAGTCTCAGATCAATCAGACACTATATCAGTGTTTCTAACTCTATGTTGGTGTTGTCTCAGATCAGTCAGACACTATATCAGTGTTTCTAACTCTACACACACACACACACACATGCAGTCCAACTGTCTGCTGCTGGGTCACAGCTTATGCAATTACAGCCTTGGAAGCAGGACATCTTCTGCACTGTATGGTGACACACAGGCACATGCATGCGCACCATACTGCACAGGTACCCAAAATCTAGACCCAGTCGCTGTCATGACTTGGTGTCAGAGGTCATGCATGGCCAGATGAAGGCTGTCTGAGCCTTATCCTGTTACTGATCATCTGCTACTGGTGTCAGTAGTGCACCTGGTTCTGACTACCATCTGTATCACCTGATTACTGTGTCTGTGTTGCTAAGGACTTTTACTGTGGACAGCTGTTTCACTGATGGTATGCCTGCCAGGGTCCTGCTTAAGTGACAAACATTCCTGCCCATTTTGAATAATATTTCACTGACAGTATGCCTACAAACATTCCTGCCCATTTTGAATAATATTTCTTTGTTCCCCTGCATCTCCTGCACAAACAGCAGAAGGATCGTGACAATGTCAGGAAATCATGGAGCAACCTGTCTGTCCCACTGGCTCCCATTCTGACTCTGCCCCCCAAGAAACGCACTTCTTCTCCAGGAAAGAAGAACAGCAAATTGACAGCACCCTCTTCTTGCAGGTAGGAGTATAAGCCCATGGATGGATTACTGAGCAGGAAGAGGGTGTAACTACATGATGAGATTTTGGTCAAGTAATGTAGTTATTTTCCTGATATACAGTACTTGGATCTTTAATGAAATATAATCCCTCCACAGTCCTTTTTGACAAATGCTGTTTTTTCCTTGCATACAGGCCTCCCCAGAAGCCAGCAGGACATCCTCCAACCCCCAAACTGCTTAAGTCTCCAGGGGCTGAAGAAACTGGAAATGTTCGTCCTGTCAGGATTACAACCAAGAGCCCCCGCTCACCAACACCCACCAGATCTGAAGAGGAAGAGCAGGTCCTCAGTCCTCTTCAGCCTCGACCTCAGCCGCTGGGCCAGAACAAGAGCCCAGCTGAACACACACCAGCAGCACCAACAGCAACCAGCGGTCGGTTACTAGTAACCCCTTCACACCTACATACATACCACACAACCTCAATGGTTAAGCTTTTATTAGTCGTTTAAAAGATACACAGGTCATTTATAATATCTCCTAGAGAGTGTAAGCAGTCCTGCAGCCCAGAAGCCCTCAGCAGGCACTACAGACCCAGAGGAGGCGAGTCGTATCCTGACTGAGAAAAGGCGACTGGCCCGTGAGCAAAGGGAGCGAGACGAGGAGGAGCGCAGGCTACAGGAGGAGCAGGCGAGGTATGCTGGCTTTGCTGTATGTGAACATGGGTGTGTGTTCTGGAGAGTGTGTAATTAGATGGATAATACAGAGGGTGTGTGTATGGGCATCCTTGACTGTGAATCATTTGTGTCTCTGTACAGGTTAGCAAAGGAGGAGTTGGCTCGCCGAAAGGCAGAGGAGCGAGCAAAGAGAGAAGAGGAGGCTCAGCGGCAAGCGGAGGAGAGGAGAGAGAGGGAGGAGGAGGAGAGGAGAAGGAGGGAGGAGGAAGAGAGGAAAGCAGAGGAAGAGAGACTTCAAAAAGAGAGAGAGGATGCAGAGAAACTCCAAAAACAGGTCAATAAAAGTGGACAAGTGAATTTACTTTATTTACTATAAGACCAAGCTTAGCAGACCTATCACAGAAAGTTTGATCTCACAACATAATAGATCTGTGTGTTTGTGTGTGTGTGTTAGAAAGAGGAAGAAGAGTCTCGACAGAGAGAGGAGGCAGAGCGGCTGAGGCAGGAGAGAGAGAAACGCTTCCAGAAAGAGGAGGCTGAACGCCTGGAGAGAAAAAAGGTGACACACATATTCACACACATATAGTATTTCATAATGTTTCAAATGTACATTGCATTGTAGAATCTTTTTTCTAATCACCAGCGTCTGGAGGAGATCATGAAGAGAACAAGACGTTCAGACACACCAGAGAAGGTAAAAGACAAAAATATGCTGAAATCTAACATTTGACTGTGACGAATTTGTGTTTCCTGAGTGGTCATTCTCTTTATGCATCCCCATCTCTAGAAAGTTATTCCTAATAGGAATGGAGACAGTGCAGGTAACTTAATTTATCATTACTTTCTGTAATTATACTGTTATTATTTTGAAAATGAATAATTATCTTTGCAGGGGTAGCTTTCATTATCTTATTGTACGTTTACAAGATATCCACTGTAGTTGTTCCCATGATGCTGTGTCTTCTTTCATCAGTAGTGACCCCTGCCTATCCCGCTCCATCTGCAGTGACTGTGTCAGAGACACATAACAGCAATGGCGACAGTCACCAGCCTGGCACCAGCCCAAACCCCGACACTTCAGCACTGAGCAATTCTGACCAGAGGTAGAGTTGTAGACCAACAGCACAGCAAAGACGTTACACCATACACCATGTTTGTGTTGCTGCAATCTGCCACATTGTTAAGGGGAAAATTGTAAAAATGTATTTTTCCGCCCCTTTCGTTTTGTATTTCCAGGGAGAACGGGGAATTTGAAGAGGTGATTGTACTGCCTTCACATCCCAGGTTGTCTCCTCCTGAAGGAGAAGAGGAGCAGCAGCAGCAGGAGGAGGAGGAGAGGGTTTCTTTCATAGCCTTTAGAGAGAACGGCCTCCTAAAACCTCTGAGTGGAAGAGAGGATATATCAGCCCAGCAGGGACCGGGTCAGTAAACACAACTTTTCTGTTTTATTCTTAATTTATTCATGCAGGCCTCTGCTGCAATGATTTTAGACCGTTCTTTAAAAAAAAAAAAAACGGTCTCAGGTCCACCAACTTCATGGTATATGTCCGCGTTGACCTGATAACTGGGTGGTCAGTGATCGTCCTATGCAGTTAGCCTTAATGGCTACCCCGGATGGCAGTATCTTGTATTTGCTTTCCTTCTGACTCAGAGATAAGTGTGAAAAATGATTTGACTGAAATCATATTTATTCTGAGCTCTCTCTGAGGCTAACCGGTTCCCTCGGTAGTGCCATTTAATGTGACTTTTTGTTTCAACAAGTCTCTACAATGAAACACTGATAGTGAAATTAGCACTAGCTATAGAGCCACCATACCCACCTTTAGGGGAAATGCAGCAGGTTCAAGCTAACTGAAGTTATCATGTGTTAAGTTCATTCTACACTGACTTTTCTCATAGAGTCCTGCCTTGCTTTTATTTCATCAGTCTCTTTCAGCTTTTGATCTTTTTTTTGGTTTAGATCTTTGCATACTGCGCCTTCTTTGTTGAAATTGGCAGTTGGCTTAGTGTACTATTAGATTTCCATGTCTGATGTTTGCAGAACAACTTGCAATACTAGTTTTCAGTATTATGACAACAGAACAGTTTGATAGTAATCCTATCACTAAGAGCCCGTTAGTACTAGAGGTGTCACAGGCTGTGTAACATTAATATAAAGGAAAGACTGTTTTTGACAGAGATTTTACACCACACACAGCATACTGTACAACAGCATACTGCAGTACTACTAAGAACTATGTTTTATTTATGAAGTGGAGACTTTGTGATGAGGTTTAAATCTGTCTCAACCTTCATTGGAACTGATGTTTTTCTTTGTTGCCCTAGATGTCGCCTGATGTCCTGTTAGACTAAGATGATTCCACACCCAGAGAGATTGGAACAGAGTTGGTCAGAGAGAAGTGGAGAAACACAGAGCTGTTGGAAGGGCTCACAGCACCAGCGGTGTACTTTCTATCCCCCCGCCAGTGGGGGAGAGCAGCCATTTCCCAAAGATCTCCCTAAAGCATCTCCAGAGAGTTACTGTTCCCTCAGCAGACTCTCTGGGGAATGGATAATCTTTCTGTCTCTATGTTTACACTCGGCCATAATGTCGTGTGTACGGCCCCAGCTACCTGATTCTGAAGTGAATGTCCTGAAATCGCAGGAGGGCAATAAGAGTATTCCATCTTTTGACTCTTGTGATGTGTGTGTGTGAGAGAGTGAATGAGAGACTAATAATATAAACTGAGATCAGTCATGATACTTGAAGTTGTTTCTATAGAACACACTTTAGTCATTGACAGAATCAGCAGTGAAACTTGCACAGCAGGCCCAGAATTACAAGGTTTAATAACGTGTGTTCTTTCTAAAAGGAACCTCATCATTCTTGTTTCAACATTTCTGTTGCAATGTTACAGACAAGATGGGATGTACAGTATGAACGATGTCAGTTGTATTAAGACATATTTGTGTAATGTCATTTTTTTCTGTGTCTACAGCGTTGAAGACTATAGTTTATTTGGAGAGGCAGGGGCCATTGGAGTATAGAGTTTAAGTTAAATAATGACAAAAAGAAAATAATGTCGTCCAAGAAAACTGACAGTCAGGGTGTAAAGTGCTAATTTTATTTAGTTTTATTTAATTGCTGTACAGATAACGATTATTTTCTTCATCCCGTCTTCATTTTCTGTTCAGATTGAAAAAGGAATATATGCTTTGATGTTTAGCCCTGCCCCTTCCTTTCACTTATTTACCGTCACAGCTGCATCCTACATCCTGTCACGATGTCGAACATGACTGTGTTGGAGGAACTTGCTGTAGGTTAGCCAGTTTGTATTGAAAAATAACCTTTGTTTTGGCCAAATGAGTACAGAATGGATTAAAATAGTCACCTGATAATTCTGCAATAATCTGATCTTCATTGTTTATGGATTTAAGAAATGCTGCTGTTTCTTTGCCTTACCACAGTGTAGAGGGACTGAGGTGACTCACCTGTTCCCACTGAAATGAAGATATGCATTCTCAGGATGAGCTTTCACATTCTGGCCACCTGCTCAGCCAGGCTTTTTAAAAATTTTGTTAAAGTATTAAGATCATGAGTTCATCTCATGATGCTTGACTATGTTAGAGCCTGATTGTCCTTCATACAGCTTTTCACAGGAACAATGAAGATTCAAATAATTAGACTACTGTGATCTTCACTTGCATCTTTAACTGACTCCCAGTAATGTTCTTGGCATTTTCTTATCAAACATTAGTACTTTGTTTAAATTTTGCAGTATCAAAAGGGAAGGAAGCTTCAGAACATTTACCGAAGGCCTGGTTGTGTAGTGCTGCTTTGTCAGTAGTACACAGCATGACATTTTTAAATATGGTAACGTCACTGAGCTTGCAAACATCAAATCCAGGGTATAATAAGCACCTCTATTATATCCACAAGGACTGGCCACAGGGCTTTGAACACTAACAAACCCTTTAATTCAGAGGAAAATGGGGCTATGGGCTTGAGTGTTTTTGAACCACACTAAAACTGCAATCTTTGTACAACTGCTGCAGCTGTACTCTTTGGCAAGTAAATAAAACTTTTTGAATGATTCACTCATTCAGCCTTGCACTTATCTTGTCCGTTTTATAGTTTGAGAACAGCAGACAAATCACACAGTGCACATTGTCAACTAATATTTTGTACATTTATTTTGGCTTAAACCAAAAACTACCAACTAACTACAAGGAACAATTTTAACTCATGTAGAAGGAAGAAAATCGTTTGACATTTAAAGAAAATATTTACACTTAGAAAAGTAGCAGGAATTATGTAAATCAAGGTTGTCGTTTTTTTCAAGTATGCTTCCATTCTACTCAAAGTAGAATAGAGCTAAATCTTAAAATCAAAAGTGGTTGTGAAGCGGTTGATTATTCTGACGAAAGTTTGAAGTTCACATAATGCACACAAAGCCAGGATGTACTCCTGTGGTGTGCTAAGTTATTCCTTTCCAGTATCATGCACAAGGAGTAGTCTTTTAGCACAGTTCTGCAACACTGGGCCTCAGAGTAAAACTGCTCCAGTTTCACCAGTAGAAGGTTTTTGTGAGGAAGCCGGCGGCTGCGTTGAGCCAGCTTCCACTGGAATCTTCCTTAGCTGTGGTGCGAGAAATAGCTCTGTCAACCTCCTGCACTGGGCTCTCCTCTTCTGGGAGATAGTCTGGTAGAGCTGAGTTTTGTTGCACCTTCACTCCAGATGTGTTCAGAGGAATCAATACCTGAAGAAAACATTGAGGAGAAAAACATAGTTTTAAAAGCTTATTATGAACCTGCACCCATAGCTCTTGGGTTCTGCCATCAGTGGATCCTCAGAATGTGTAGTCAAAATTCACTCACCTCTTCTCCTGCCTCGTTCTTCACCACCTGTTGGGCTGACAACACTTTAGTGGCAGCAATGGCAGATGCCAGACTCTGCAAATGAAGAGAAAACAGGGAAGAAGCTGTCTGGGATTTACTGACACCAATTGGACCAGATGCACAGTTTATTTAAGCCAGATTCCTCAGTAGATTTACTAATGCATTTGAACAAATGCAATAACTGGAAGGATTCTAAAAGGCCCATGGCATGCTTTTCCTTGTTTTTTGACTCATACAATGTTACAATGGTGAATTCTCTATTTGATGAACAGCCTCTGTCCTAGCCTAGTAAAAATACCTAGACATGGCCCAGAGCTCAAAAAATGTGTACGTTCTATTACATCTATGCAGAAGCAACTTGGGGCAGCACGGTGGCACAGTGGTCAGCACTGTTGCCTCACAGCGAGAAGGTTCTGGGTTCGGGCCCCACCCGGGACCTTTCTGTGTGGAGTTTGCATGTTCTCCCCGTGCTTGCGTGGGTTCTCTCCGGGTACTCCGGCTTCCTCCCACAGTCCAAAGACATGCAGCTTAGGTTGATTGGTGTCTCTAAATTGCCCATAGGAGTGTGCGCGTGTGTGTGGTTGTTTGTCTCTGTGTTAGCCCTGCGATGGATTGGCGACCTGTACCCCGCCTTCGCCCGATTGCCGGCTGGGATTGGCTCCAGCCCGTTCAGGGACTAAGCGGTAGAAAATTAATGAAAAGAAGCAACTTTGTTTATACAAGTCTATCAAATTCTCACTTGTGAGACTTTTTTCCTAACAAAATTAAGTATTACATTACAGTTTAAAGATATCCTTGAATGGGCATAAAATCCAGGCCACTCACGTTCATGTGAGCTTGCCTGACATCCACCATTGCCCCCACCATATGGGCAGTGTTATAGTGCCTTGCTTGTTGTGTGTATTTTCAATAAAGCTTATGGGAGCAAAAAGACATCCACCAGTACCACTGTAAAAGCAGAATTTTTCACCTGTGCCTGGTTTTGTGAATATTTTAAGGAAGAGGTTTTTTGGCTCTCTGATTCTGAAACAATTACAAACTATCTGGAGTTATGAGGGGTGCCAAGATAACCTAGACATACCCAAGATTAAACTTGAAATGGCTGGAAACGAGCAAAATGAGCAGGCCATGGGCACTTCAAGCTAACAAAGAATATACCTCAGTGGACAGGTCTGAGCGAATGCGGACTGTGCATCTCTTGGAGGCCATCTGAAAAGTGAAGCTGATTACTCCTCTGACCTTGAGAAGAGCCTCCTCACACAGGCCTCGCTGGTCCTTGACAACAGAGAGACTGTATTAGTTAACAATAGCTACTGTCAGGCTACAGAGTGTATAGACTGACCAACCTACTCACAGTGCTGTTGAGCCCCTGGATGTGCAGAGTGACAGACTTTGCCTTCTTGTTGGAGGAGTTGATAAAGAACTGGGATTTCCTTCTCCTCTCCCTTTCATATGTGTGGGGCACAGGATAAGCAGGTGCGCTCAGAATGCCATACACCTCCTGAGCCAAGGCTGTAATGTCAGAGGGGCCCTCCCTGTATAGACAATTGTGCTCGTGATGATATCTCCTTTCACATGACAACAAATATACAACCCTGAAGTTAAAATACTATTTGATTTGGCTTATAACATCAAAAAATACATGCGTGACAAAAGCATGGACATGGAAATTATGTGGTAGACACTTACTCTACTAATACTCTAGACATTTCAAGAAAACATGTATAGACATCAACATGAGGATTATCATATATAAATAAGGTCCTCACCTTCCCATTAGATTCTCCAAGCTCACCATCATACCTAGTTCATTCTTCATGATAGGGATGTTGGGAGACATCTCAGCCAAGTACCGCAGAGTCTGAGGACAGACGAACACAGGAGGAGGAATTAAAATAATGTTAGTGTTTGCTGCAACAGTGCAAGATCCAAGGTCCAGCAGATCCACGTGCTACTTATTAAAAAAATGCTCTAACTCACTAATCAACTTCATTAATTTCTCACCTCTCAGGTTTCAAAGTAGTATATCCAGAAATCAAAAAGAGGCATGCAGTATGATAAGATTCAGTAGCTGTTAGAAATAAGTAAGTGGTTTTTCAGAAGCACACTCAATTCTTGGATGTCTGAACCTGCCAGTAACATTTTCAAACACAACAGTTTTGAAACTATGCAAGCTTTCAATGTTCACTGTGATGGATTGCATACAAAGTGCATTTTTATTGCATTTATATTGCTGTGCCATTAAAAAAAACACTAATGGTTATTTTAATGTACAGGTAAATACAGAGACGCATATTCGTCCAGCCTCTTTCACCCACCTGCAGAGTTGCAAGAAGAACGTCTGGGTCCTTGTGGTCCAGGAAAAGTACCAGCCCGGGAAGACAGCCCTGGTCCTGGACTATCACCTCACGGTTCTGTGGTTCAGAAGCCAGGTCCCGGAGCTGGCTCACCACCGACAAAGCGTCCATCATTTTTGTTAACGTTTCCGTTACCAGACCTAAAACTGGAAGTGATATTTACAAAGTGCTTTAATTGCAGGGAAAGCTAAAGTTATGTAACTGGATAACAATTTAGGATTACACTGTCACTAGTAGATGTTTAAAAGCTACAAGAACGAAACTAACGTCAGTTCAGGAGAACTGCTAGATCAAAATTAGCCTGTCAAGTTAAAGCGCTAACTATAGAAGCTAACAACTACTTTAGGCACGTTAAGAAGCTGACAGACTGGCTTATTTAAAGAGAAATACATTTCAGTTTGTTTTGTTACACAGTTTGTAATTAAAGCTGTGAAAGTACTATAAATTATATGTGCGCCTTGAAAGTGCGATTAAAATAGCGTTTGTCAACTTTTACTTACACACGAGAAGACGCAGCTCGTGCACTAAAATACAAATTTGGTGCTAAGTTTTCATGATACGCAATTGGTCCACCGGCCGTTACGTACACAGCACGGTCGCCCGCTCTTATTGGCTTTCCGTGACAAGTTCTGTACCTACAGCCAATCAGATTAGTTTTTGCTGCTGCAGCTTTATTTGACTTCAGAGACGCTGTGTGGACGCGTGAGCGAGAGGCGGAAACTACTCAGTTTTGCGTGTTTATCTGCTGTTTTAGTTAGTGTTTGTGGTCGCAATGAGGATTTCGAATAAATGTAGATGCTAACACACGTTTTAACAAGAAAACGAATTTACGGTAAGTACACACGTTTCTTCTTACCTCGCGTGTTTTACTCTTGATGGGCAGCGCAGCTACACTGCGGTACCTGCGTGTTACCTGCACTGTCCAGCGCAGAGGGCTGCTGTCTTTATGCTAAAACTGTAGGTCACTACGAGCCATCCGTTGTGCTGGTTCAGTGCGATCTCGCAGGCGAGTCAACATCCAGCTGTACAGACAGCTGCGTCAGTTTGTGCCCACTGAAGAGAAAAGCACGTTCTTCTCAATCTTGTTGTGAAATAAGTCACTAAGTTCTTGTAATTCTTGATTTAGGTTTATTTATAAGGGATTCCAAGTGAGCAGAGCTTTGACTTTCAATTAATTCTCAGTGTTCTGTTTTGTTTCAGGTGTGAAGTATGTGACTTAGTGACCTCCTGTCTGTGTTGGCCTGTCACTGAGTCAGTCAGCAGAAAGAGGAGCTTTGCAGTCTCAGCCAGTTCAGGAAAAAGTCCTTCCAATGTCTTTAGTAGAGGATATACTGGATGTGCTACGCGTGGTCCTGGAGTACTTTGGAGTGCATCCAGACATGGTGAGTGCACACAGACATATTTCTGTTATAACTGTGTTACTGATTCTCCAACTGGGATCCACAGGCTTATTAAACCACCAGAAGTGCTGCATCACTCCCTAAATGTTAACTTGTAAGGACGCAATTTTCAGCCAAGGTTTTTTTTTTTATGTGATGTGTTTGCTTTAGCTGGTTCCAGTATGGGACAGTCAGCTGTGCGGTCAGTATCGCAGCATTGTGCGGATGATTGGAACCAACCTCCCACTGACACCAACACCACGTGTCCACTTTCAGGTACTGTACAACTTTCTAAAAGACTGAAGGCTATTTCTCAGTTAGTCAATCTAGGTAAGTATGGTAGTGATGATTGTCAGTTTTCCCAAAAATCATGTTTGAACGACGTTCAAATTGATAGTAAGGCAATACACCTTGCTTCTTTAATGGCTGATTTTTGCATTGTGTAAGTAGTGCTCAGCTGAGATATGACATGCTGAAGAGCTAGGGTAGCTGATGTTGTGGGCTTCCTTCTGTCATGTAGTCTGTGTCCAAGTGTGTAATTCCTCCCTGTCCACATTTCATCCTCAGATCCCTCTGGCCACCTTTAGGACCCATGGATGTGTTGACGTCACCGTGGACACACCTGCCATTCCTTCATTCGCGGACGTCGTGTGGGTGTTTGAGGATGAGGGGAACAGCTTTGCCAAGACCAGGTACAAACACCCAGGACAGTTTTAGTTGGATTCTGATGCCAAAAATGCCAAATAAATTTAAGACTGATATGTGGTCTCCCCAGGAACCATTTACCTCCAAAGAAGCCGAGTACTGTAAACCGGGATGTGGTGCGATACCCTGGACCAGGCCCTACTCGATCTCAGAGAGGAGGCCGAGCTGTACAACAGATTAATCCAGATGCACTGAAAAAGATCACAGCGCTGGAGAACGAGCTGCTCAAACTACGAGCTCAGATAGCCATGATTGTTACTGCTGCTCCCACCTCAGCGACACATTGTTTGTACCTCATCTCAACTATCACAAAATATACAAATGTTTTGTGCATGTGAAGCGAGTGTGATATTCAGTTTTTTCTCTTTCAACATTTTCTAGGCCTGACTGAGCCCCAAAATGCCCCTATGATGTCTCCCCCCCCTCCACCAGCTCTAACTTCCACACCTCGCTGTGCTCCTCCACCACCTCCTCCTCCACCTCCACCTCCTCCCTGCCCTAGCTCCTCCACTGAGATGTCTGTATTAGAGCTGATCCGCCAGCGCAGGAAGAACGTGAAAAACCTGGACAAGGGTTCAGGAGTTAAAGACATGCCCTCTATGATGGATGTTCTCAAGGACTTGAATCAAGTTAAATTGCGTTCTGTTGAGAGGTAGGTGTTAGGACTGATCGAGTATGGGTGTGTCATTGTTTTTGATTGTATTATACCAATATTAATATCCTAAAATATGATGGTTCATGACATCTTAATGTTTTCTTGTATTATTTTTTCCTTATTAATATAATTTGATTCCTTTGTTACCTTTTGTAATATCTGTCCCCTCCCTAAATATTTTCCTCCAGATCACCAGGGGGCACACCTCTCAGAAGACACAGTAAGGGAGGCACCGCATTGATTAACGACCCAGCTGCTCTTATTGCTGAGGCACTAAAGAGAAAGTTTGCCCATCATCGCCATAACATTTCCTCTGACAAAGAGAAAGAACTCTCACCTTTTGGCAGCCCGGACACTCCCAAGGTTTTTTCCCATCTTCACACCCTGTCCTCACACGCCTTTGTCTTAGTCTATTCATTGATTCCTTGATTCCTTGATTGAGTCCTAAGACATTTGTATATGGGTTTTGGAAATGGAGATCTTATATTCTTGTATTTCAGCACAGTTTTGGGTTCATTTTCAGACACTACTATACTGAAAGGAAGTGCAATATGACAGGTTGTTGATTAGAAGCTGTATGCAGTAAGTGCTTTTCTGAGATTTAGCATTTTTGAAACCAAGTGTCTGATCTGATGTGGTGTCGTCAGGATACCTGCATTTTTCTTCCTTTTAAACATTTTGACATTGAGTTGAGAACCAGTCAAAATTAGTTTTTCCATCAATCAATTAATGGGGAGAGTACCTGGTACCTAGTACTATTTTTGGTACCAAGCAAGCTGAGGCGATACCAAGCAATAACGTGTAAACACTGCAGACTAGTGATTGGTCAGAGAGAATCATCACTACTTTGCAGCCACCGATGAACCCGGATGTTTACATGTGATGACACCAGAGTTGAGTTGAGCCGGTACCAGACAATGGGAAACAGGGCATAACACAGACCTGTCAGCTAAAAGATGTGAAACAGAGCCACATATTGTAAATGATTTTATTTGCAAAGTGCTTTTTTAATTTTGTCCAGGCCACATGTTGTAAATGATTTTTTTTGCAAAGTACTTTTTTAATTTTGTCTCCCGTAGTGTGTTGTTGCAAATTCTGAGCCTGTAAGATTTATGCTGTGGGCAGGCCTGCTCACCTGAGGCCTCTGTAAAAAAGCGGTCAGGGACACCGTCACCTGATTCCCCATTAAATGATAACTTCTGATCAGCCAGTCACAGCTCTCCCAGATGTGCCTCACCAATGGATTACTACTGCAGCAGCTGACCTACATTTCTTTTCTTTTCTTTTTTTGGTTTGTACCCTTGTAAGAGGGTTTGTATCACAATGGAAAGGGAGGTTTGATTGTATATTTTTATTAAAACGATTGTTCAGATTTGATAGTCATTTTGTTTTTGCACATTGGAGTGATGCTCTTTCAAGTGATGTATACAGTGATGCCTTTGTGCAGAGCTCTCTTCTTTTAACAGAAATAATGTGTTTAAGCAGGTATTTACTGTAACTTGTAGCTTCCTACCTTAATGTTTCTGAAATCACTGAGGATTTCATTCTTACCTTAACCAAGTGAAATAAAGTGGGTTTGAGGTTCACACAGCTCAATTCTATGCAACTGCTTTTTCAGGTTGTTTTGTTATTAAAGTGTTCAAGTGCACTGATCAGTTTTATTCTGTTCTTGTCACATTTCCTACAAGTTCACTTTGTGTCCAAATGTAGTGAAAACTAAAATTTGTGCTTTTTTTTAATTTTTTTTTTGCTCCTCATCATCTTTTATAGCACTGAGTGGAACTGAATTTCTACAAAGGGTACAGATCATAATGCATATGCTATTTCACACTGTTGCTAGGCTGCTACCAGCTGGAGATGAAGAAATATTTTGACATTAATTTCAGATGCTTCTTTAAAAGACTCTCTGCCGTCACCAGTATACTGTCCCTAAGAGATCTAGTATTGCGGTGCTGGCCAGTTGTGTTTTTCTCTTGATTATTATGAACCAATACAATATTTACCCCTTCTCAAAGACTTAAGACCAAATGTTATCCAGTCTTTGTAAATTAGAGAACAAGTCTCTTAAAGAGACTTTTACTTAATTTCCAGTGAATATATAGAACTTGTTTTTGCTCCTTTAGCTTTATGTCTAAGTTATTGTATATGTTTTATCTGCTGCTGCGTGTGACCTGCTGGGAGGAACTGTATATTATCAATGATATTATTGTTGGTATAGTTCTAACACGGCTTAGACAAAAATAGGCTAAATAATGTGCCGTAACTTTATGTGTGGCATTTTTTGGGCCAACCAGCAGACTGATGCTGGGGGGCAAAGAAAAGTTTCATTTTCTTTTTTTAATTAGCCAAGTATTTGATGGTGACTGTTTCCAAATAAGTTGGCAGAAGGAGGAGTCTATATGTTTTCCTTCACCCATGCTTTAAACTGGTGTGGGACTTTAATCCTTGTGCTGGTACGACCACCTTTCATGAATGTAGGAGTCAAAATTGAAAGATGTAGCATAGTGTTTGACATAGTATACTTTGTAATTATGTACTATTGTTGTTAACTAACATGACACACTTCCCTATAACTACATGAGAACAGTCTAAATTGATTTTCTCTGTGTACATTAACATTTAATGATCCAATGTTACCTGTTTTTTAATCATTTAATATCCTGTTCCTAATGACCATAGCCAAAATTTTTATTTGCCATGTTGTTTTGCAGTATACATTCATTAATGCAAGGAATTCCAAAACTCTGTCAACTGCTTAACGTCAGCCAAGAGAGAAAAAAGGTGAGTTCTATTTTCCTCAATATTTCTGGTATAAATTGATGAATAGATCATTTGAACTTATCTGAACAAACAAGGACAGTCCATTTTCTCATTTGAATGCAAAGTAATTTGAACTCATCTGAACAAACAAGGACATTAAGTCCATTTTCTCATTTGAATGCAAAGTCAGTAATGGGTGAGGTGTGCCAACTGGTCCAATGGTGTAAGGGCAGTAACCTCTCCCTCAGTGTGGGGAAGACTAAAGAGATCATTGTGGACTTCAGGAGAAAACCTCTAAAGCATCCCCCACTGACCATCGACTGCTGTAGTGGAGAGAGTGAGCAGCACCAAGTTCCTGGGGTGCACATCTCTGAGGACCTCTGCTGGACCAACAACACCATATCACTGGCCATGAAGGCTCAAACACGCTCTACTTCTTCCGCAAACTGAGGAAAGCCAGTGTCCCACCCCCCATAATGCGCTCTTTCTACCAGGGCACCACTGAGGGCGTCATCAATGGCTGCATCACTGTGTGGTACGGAGCCTGTACTGCCTCCTGCAGAAGGACCCTGCATCGCATAGTGAATACAGCCAGCAAGACCATCGGTGCCCCTCTGCCTGCCCTCAATGACATTTTTATCACCTGCAGAGCCATCAGCATTGATGATGACACCTCCCATGCCTCACACTCCCACTTCAGAAGGTATCGGAGTGTTCAGGCCCACTCCATCAGACTTACAAAAAGTATCGGAGTGTTCAGGCCCACTCCACCAGACTTACAAACAGCTTCATCCACCAGGCTGTGAGGATGCTGAACGCTGTCCATTACCTCCCAGCCCTCTGCCCCCTGTCCCTTGTCTGTGACTCACCACAGAACATAAAAAAGACTACCTCTGCTGTTTTGCACAAACCCAGTACATTCCCCCTTCTTGTTATATTATTAGTCGGGCTCACCTCCACGCACAGCTTGGGCTCTGGAACCTTACTCCTC